GGTTTAGGATGTAGGGTTGAGGGTTCCCGAAACAAAGCCGAGATACATCCTGGGTGTAGAAGCGGCCGCTCACGCCACCTGTGAGATCTGCAAGCGCATCCTGGCCGGCAATGCAGGAGCCGTTGTAATTGGAATCGGGCTCATATGGGTATTTCCGAGAATAGGGGACCCTAATATAGTACCCTAAATAATAGGACCCTTATTATAAGGACCCTAAAAGAAGGTACCCTAAGTTTTGGAAACTCCCATATAAGAGTTCCTGAAACCCTAAGCCCTAAACCCTTCGCTAACTGTGGTCGGGCTCATATGGGTAGTTGTCAAAATTACGGTACCTTTTGGGGTACCCGAAATAATAGGTGCCGTATTATAATCAGGACCAAAAAGGGACCATAATTTTGACAACCACCCATATAAGAGTTCCACTAGAGTTCTAGTGAGCATGCCGCTTCGCAGGCTCCTGCTCAAGGAGGCTCCCGTGCCAAGATGGCCGCCTGCGGTGGTGTGGTACACTGCGGGCCGCTGCGGTTTATTTGACGAACAAACCTGGCCCGGCTTATAACGTCTTTGCTCAGCCGACGTCTCTCTTGTGAGAGTTGCTGGTACCGCTGCTGGCTGACAGAGTCTGCGAACGCTGCATTCTGACCCTGGCCGGGCTTTCCACCCTTGCCCATTGGCCCAACTTAGGGTTCCTTAAACCCTACAACTTAGGGTTCCTTAAACCCTACAACTTAGGGTTCCTTAAACCCTACAACTTAGGGTTCCTTAAACCCTAAACCCTGAACTTTTTGCTATAAGGGTTCCATAAGGGCTTGGGGTCTGGAGCCTTGACAATGGGGCGCCCTAGTATTTAGATTAGTTACTAAGTCCCATGATCCTTTAAGTAGCAGACCGTAAACCATAGGACCATAAACCCAATTCATGTACGCGAAACCTTCAACACGGTTAAGGTTTAGGGTTTAGGGTTTAGGGTGCTCTTCCAGGACTGACTTGAAGTGCAGAATCCATCTTTCTACCGATCCACCCCACATGAACGCGTCCAGGCGCTCTGGGTTTACGGTCTTGAGGTTTACGGTTTGGGGGTTTGGGGTTTTATAGGTTTTCTCATTGCACTTAAGGCTTAAGTGCAATACGAGATAGAAGTAGAAGCCAGACAGTTGGCACATCATTATCCTCATGCCCTTACGATAAAGTAGAGGGGATTCTAGCATTAATCCTCCTAAACCTATGTTCCAACTTCTTGGGGTTCGCTGTAGGGTAAGAGTGGCTTTCTAAGCCCCAAACGCAACACCCCAACCCAAACACTTAAGCACTCAAGCCCTCAACACTCCAGCCCCAAGCCGTCAAAAGCACATGCCTTGACCTTATACCGGCACCCAATCCTTAACTGAACTCTTTAAGGAACCGTTTCAGGAACCCTTAAAAGATCCCTGCATTTAAAGAACCCTTCAAAGGATTCCTTTACGACACCAGTTCTCAGTCCCCACGAACACACAAGAGGAGCCTCCACCTGGCCGCCGCCGCCGATCTGAGAGCAGTTCTTGGCTTTATCATTTCCTCAAGGCTTGTATCACGCCCACGCCTTTCCGATATCCCTTAATCAAGGAGTATACACTGATTTATAGTAGGATCCCTAACATGAAACCAGGTAGAAAGCCCTAATTACGGGATATTGGAAGGTCAGGGGCCTAAACCCCGAAACCAAAACCTCCCCAAACCCTAAACCCCTAAACCCTAAACCCCTCAACCCCAAAACCCTAAACCCCAAAACCCCAAAACCCCTAAACCCTAAATCCTAAACCCCACAACCCCAAAACCCCAAAACCCTAAAACCCAAGGTCCGGGTGGTTTTGAAAGGCTTCGAGCTTCTGGTTCTAAAGGTGTTTTCGCGCTCGGGGACCTGAGGGGTTCTTAGGGTTTAGGGGTTTAGGTTAGGGTTCAGGGTTTAGGGTTTACGGTTTAGGGTTTTAGGGTTTAGGGTTCAGGGTTTAGGGGTTTAGGGTTTAGGGTTTAGGGTTCGGAGATTTCGGGCGTTTGGGATTCAGGATCCGATGCTTTGGGTTTCGGCATAAATAGTATAGTACATTATCGTATATCTTAGTGTACGATAGTATTTCATAACATATTAATGGAATATTGAAGTATGTTATAGTATATTCTATAGTTTATTAATGTAAATGGTGGTATGTTGCAGTCTATTTTGGTATGTAGCATTAGTATATGGGGCTTCGGCATTGATCCACCACGGGGTTCTTGTCTCGGAATGTACCCATGGTATCCATTGTAGTTCCTTGTTTTGTTCTAGCAAAGGTTTACATATACACAGGATCCTAACAGATAAGCCCAAAAGCAACTACAATGGAGACTGACAATAGGTAGGTTGCAGCTATCACAACGGTCTGAAGAGACAGTTTCTTTAAACCCTGAACCCGATTCGGCCGTACTCCGAGTACGAAACCCCTGTTCTTTAGGAGCTAGGCTCTAAACCCAAACCGTATCCTTTAGGCCCTGTTCAGAAACCCTATCTGTTCTTTAGGAATGAGGCCTTACCCTAACCCTGTTCATTGTGAAGTAGGCCGTAACCCTATTCCGTAATGCTATCAGTGTTCACTCTATTATAAGGGTCCAAGATGTGCCAGTGCACGCACAGAATGTGCTACCGCCCAAGGCCTTAACCCTGAAACCCAAGCCCATATATATCTCTTGAAGTCTTGAAGTGCAATATCGGGGCCTTCATACTTAGAACAGGTTTTGCGGCTTAGTCTACTAGAGTTATCATAAGGAACCCCCCCAAAATAGTACAGGTAATTATTTAGGCCCCTAAACCCTAAACCCTCAACCCCAATTATTTAGGCCCCTACAATACCATACTAGAAAAAAAATAAGATCAGGTCTTGGGAGCCTGGAGTTTCTGATTGTAAAGCTACGGTTTAGGGTTTAGGGTTTAGGGTTTAGGGTTTGGGGTTTAGGGGCGCTGCATAGGAACCATAGGGGAAACTCTTCGTAATCTTCTCACACGCCTATGCTACTTTGAATTTCACAGTCCCCGGCTGGAAGCCCACTTCCCCGTAGATTTACGTGTTAAGTTTATATGGTGTTTACAGCTTTTTTCCAATAGGATCCTTGTAAACTTATAGGTTGGTAGGAGGGTTCTGTAAGATTTTTGGAGGTTTACCAGAATTTTAGATTTTCGAAGCTCCTAGGAGTTTTATACCCTATACAGTAGTTGTTAACTTATGGGGGAACCCAGGGTTTACGCATGGTCTGAGGAACACTGCCCTGCCGCCACATGCGAAAGTGGGCTTGCTGGGAGAATACGTGGGAAGATGGCTTTACGATGTGCGGCGGCTTAGGGTGTAGGGTAAACCCTAAACCCTAAACCCTAAACCCTAAACCCTGAGCCCGAAACCCTAAAAACCTTGATGCGCATGGGACTTGGAGCTGTGGATTTGGGTTTGGGACGTGGAACCCTGATTACGAAGCTGAGAGCTGCGACGGCCATCCAGCCACCACTGTTGTCATCCGGATTTTGGCCGTCCCGCAGGGTGTGGACCTCCCGACGCTGCCGACTTTCGGATACAGGCCTCTCTGCTTCGACTCCAAAGTACTTGCACACGGCCTAAATCCACGTCTCTTTGGACAAAAAGTCTTCGCTCGAAGCACAACAAGCGCGGATCTGCTCGAGATAGTGATTACTCTGATTTACTATGATTCATACTGTTTTTACGTTCTGTTAATAAGCTTATTTTTCGTCCTTTCTGATCTTCGGATGTCGGACCTAAATGCAGCGGCTTCATTGCATGGTTTAGAATTTTGGGGTTTGGGGCCTAAGGAAAGTTTTAATTAAGCTCCAGTTTCCAAAGAGATCGCTGAACTCAGCCGATGGATGACACTGTGCAAGCAGAAAGCCTCCGTCAAGCAAGGGAACATGAAATTCTGAGTGTAGGGCACAGGGTTCAGGAGCCCCTAAACCGTAAACCTTACAAGGCCTTATGGGCTGTTGTGCCTAAGGGGTTCAAAGGCCACACAAAAATCAGACCGGACGGACTGTTAAACCGCCACTGTGAACTCAAACCCTTCATCCCAAACCCACAGAGCCCTAAACCCTAAACCCAGTGTCCAGATCACCCAGCCCCAACACAAAGGAACTCCGCAGTGCCTTGGCGTAGGCCTTCTCGACAAGGGACGGCCTGCCAACAGCGATCTCATACAGGCCTTAAAGTGCGGAGAAGAATTGATGTTAATGAGACTTGACCAGGGTCTTCTATGGTTTTGGGACGGCTTCATAAGTATTTCATAGGATGCTTACAACTTATCAGGTGTTGCGTCCTCATGTCCTAAACGCAGAGCTGCTGCATCGCGAAACACCAGGCACCCTAAGCCCTGAGCCCTAAACCCTTCCTAAGCCCTGCGCCATGAAATCATAAGCCCTTGGTACCGAAATCATGAACTCTGCAGTCTTAACGGGGCTGAAGCCTCAAGCTCATACACCACGCGTGAATCCTAACCCTAAACCCTATAAAAACCCTATAAGCCCTGTAAACCCTAAACCCTATGAGCCCTACAAGGCCTATAAACCCCATAAACCCCATAAGCCCTATAAACCCGAAAAAACCCTAGAAACTCGATGAGCCCTATAAACCCCACAAGCTAATAACAGAAAAAAAAGGCCGAAAAGGCCCCAACACCCTAAACCCTAAAGTTCAAGCCCCAAACCCTAAACCCTACACCCCGAAAGCCAGCCAGGAGTGCCAAAGGATGTAGGGGAAGTGCTCGGAACCTGGGCGGAGGGGCCGGCCGTGGCTGGAGTGTCGAGGCTATGGCTTGGGTTGAGCCATCAACGGCTTAGGGCTTTGGGTTTAGGGTTTAGGGCTTAGGGGTTTAGGGTTTAGGAAAGTCCAGATTTAGGGTTAAGGGGTTTAGGGTTTAGGGTTTATAGGGCTTTGGGCTTAGGGTCTAGGGTTTAGGGTTTAGGGTTTACAGGGATCAGATTAATGAAAGAGGGTTCGGGGATGGACCAGGCAAAGGATTCGAAAGTAATAAGTAAAGTGAAGTAACTTTATGAAGACTCGAGGCATCGGAAACAGGGCTTGGAAGTACTGTTGATGATATGAATCCTGCATTACCGTAAGGACCCTAAACTATGGGAATTATGGTCTATTCCTTCCTATCGGTAAAGCAGGATTTATATCATCAGCCCGCAAAAGCCGCCAGACGTACGCGCACGCTTGCGCCCTAGGCCAAGGAAGAGTCTGATGTCTCCGTATGATTCCTTGTAGGTAAAAGCGCCGTCTTTCTGAATGCAGCCAAGATGAAGCGCACATCAACATCCAAAGCCCAAGATACTTTAGCTCGAATACAGAGGCACAAGGGAGTAGCCTTCAGTAGTTTAGCCTCTCTGCAAACCTCTCAAGCCTCACATTCCCCATGGCAGTCCGAAGCCCTCAACAGCTTCCTGAAAGTAAATTTCGACAGAAGCTCCTGGCCCCTGTACACAGCTCAGCAGTACATTGCTGGTTTCGGGCCGAGAGAACCGGACTGTTGATGTGTGCAAACGAAAAGTTATGTAGGCGCTCTGCTCCATTTGGCTTTCGGGACTCAGATTTGGGACGAGCCCATGCATCAACTGCAGCACTTGGCTGTGGAGATAACCATGAAACCGTACATAGTCCTTCCCAAAGGGTCCAATGTACCTATATAGTAGAATGTAGGGTTTCTATATTAGGAATGACTATTATGACTTAGGGAAGTATCCCCCACAACAGTACATAGGACCCTTTGGGCTTATAAGCCTTCAGACCTGAACCCTCAACACGATCCCCCAGGTCGACAGCCCACCCCGCAATAGCTATCAAACTTCGCAAACCTTACTGTCTAGTACCCATTTGCTCTCTAGGTCTCTCGGAGGTTATCTGCGGCTAGGTTTGTCTCACTCAAGCAAGCTATTGCCATTGACCATATATATATATATAATACTTACTATGCATATGTATATGTATATGTATATGTATATGTATATGTATATGTATATGTATATGCACATGCATGTATGTATGTGTGCACACCCTCGTACAATATACTCTCACACCCCGCTTCAGAAAACAGGTGTGCCTCAACCAGAAACCCTAAACCTTGCTCAGAGATCCGTGCGGCAGCACAAGGGCTCGAAGCCATTTGAAGCCAAAGGCGCGTAATCGTCCTTGGCAGCGCAATTCGAGGCTCCAAGACGCAGGATGCGATATTCCTAAACCCCTACAGACACTAAAGGTCCCGAGCTGTTCTGGAGTTGATGTGATTTGCGACTGCAGGACTTGGCGTAGAGGCTTGGATGCCTTGGGGCTGTGGGATTGCGTCTTAAGGTTCGGGCATGTCGCACGCGTGAGTTTCCATGCTCTAGCCTCGAGAGTTGAGGATGCTTTCGTCTTCGGACGGTAATTTAGAAGCCTAAATAATTACCAATATCATTCTTAGGGTTCCTTAGTATAAACATACGATAAAGGAGCCCAAAACCCTATTCTAATTATTAAGGCCCCCACATTATTCAGGATTTAGGATTCAGCTTTAGAGTCGCAGGAACTTGGAGATCGAAGCCCTGAGAGTGGAGACAGCCCTGAACTCTAAACCCGAAGCCTCCAAGCCTAAAAATCCTAAACCCTAAACCCTAAACCCTAAATCCTAAACCCTAAAAGTCCTAAACCCTAAACCCTAAACCCCAAACCCTAAAGCCTAAACCCTAAAACCCGAAGCCTCCAACCCTAAAAGGCCGTCAAAGGCTCAGGATCCTGGGATCTTGGGCTCAGCATCCCGGGTCTTGGGGCCAAGCTTGGGCTGAATGACGACCCATAGGCCCTAAAGTGGGGGTTTAGGGTTTAGGGGTTTAGGGTTTAGGGTTTAGGGGTTTAGGGTTTAGGGTTTAGGCCCTAAAGTAGTTCCTTTTTGGGGATTCATACTTAGAATTCTATAAGGTAATCACAAAAAGGAACTACTGTGGGGCCTATGGGTAGGTTCCTAAGTGGCCCCTTAAAAATAAGGGTACCCTCTTTCCTAGTGTTTGGTTTTAATAAAGGAACCCACAGAGGAAAAAGGGCAAAAGGGTACTACTCAGGAACCTAGATGATTCAGTGTTGATGGGATGCAGCAGCGAAAGTTTCTGAAGTTTGGTAACTTTTCATGATCCTGTAAATACCGACTAGGTCTTGAAACCTCGGTTTTCTTGAGAGTCCGTGGAACACCCTAAATCCCAAAACGCTAGAACCCCCATCAAGTACCTTGACCCTCTATCTACCCTCTATTAGATCCTAAATACCCAGTATTTGGGACCGTATACCGCTGTCCGGGGGTGCCGGGCATACTCCCTAAGCCCTAAACCCCTAAACCCTAAACCCTAAATCCCAAAGCTCTAAACCCTAAGCCCTAAATCCTAAACCCCTAAACCCTAAACCCTACTCCCTAAACCCTAAACCCTACTCCTTAAGCCCTAAACCCTAAACCACTAATACCCTACGAAACCCTATCGTCTGAGTCCCTGGCCACCTCCACCTTCAGCCAAATGCCGTTCTTGAAGATGCGGAGGATGTACACTGCGTGCCTCTGCGTGTGTGTGTGTGTGCGTACAGGGTTTAGGGGTATTTGCGGGGTATAGGGTTCAGGGCTCAGGGTTGAGAGTTGAGCGGTTTCTGTGGAAGGGGAGTAGAGTAGAGGGCATATGACATGTGAGTTTTGAGGTAGCGCGATGAACAGGTTTTTTCTAATCAGACAGGAGCATGCAAGGCACCCTCTAGCCCAGCACAAGCCCTCTTTCTACATGGTGATATTCGAACTGGGGTGTAGATGCCATGTCGATCTGTTCGATCACACCACGAGAAGATTCATATGCCTCATAGGAAGTTGGTTTCGCACGAATCGTCCTACACTCCTCGCCTGGCAGCGGACGTGATGCTCACAGAACTCGCGGGCCAATTCTATGTGAAGGCTGTCCAGGTTGCTGAAAATATGCTGCATCAAGGGGGGGCTCTTCGGCTACATGAAGAATGCTGAAAATACAAGAGGCCGCCTGCAGCATAGAACTATCAATCCTCAGGGCGAAAGGATTGCCCTGAACCCTGGACCAGGAGTCACAACGTGTTCGCGCTTAGGTCTCACCTTAAACTACCACAAACAACTTATTTGGGGGGTTTTTGTATGTTCTGATTATAAACCCTACTACCGAAGTTTTAGGAACCCTTTCACAAGAGTAGGTTCTGACAGCCTCATTCCCGGAAATCTCTTGAACCCACTCAACTCCCAGCAGCTTCCATTCCCTCAGGCTACGCCTGAAAAATGGGCAGTTCTCTAAATTAGGGTCCCTTTTTGGAGGAACCCCAAAAAGGTACGGCACTCTTAGAAAAAGGACCCCCGCACAGACCCTATTTTAGAGAACTATAGATCTCCGAATTGGGACTTCTACACTTAAAGCTGCTTTGGTTTCGGATCCTTGCAAGCACAGGGATCCGTGGTCCAGGGTTTTCTTTCAGGGTTACTTTTCTGACGCAATCAAAGAATACCAACTCTGGTATCTCCACGTTCCTGGGGCGGCTTCGTGGTGTACATAAACACTTGGGAACAAGGGTCCCGTCGATGGGTCCCTAGAAAAGTCGCTTGAAGTGAATAAGATCGAACATGCAGCACAAGACACTTCTAAGCCGCATGGTCGCTTCGTGAAGAAACCCTATAAACCCTTAACCCTAACGTTTAGAAACCGCGTATCGAAGTCCGTATAGGCTTCTGGCATCTAGTTTGAGGGATATGAGAGTCCCCGAAACAGGGGGCGATAGGACCCAGCACATAAGAACCCAGAATGTGGATATAATTATGTGGAGCCCGAGGATAAGGTCGGAGCTTCGTGTCGTAGCAGAGGAAGAGGGAGCGCGCCAGCGCCGGGCGAAGGGAAATGGCCTGGCGGATCAAAACGGTTTCGAGGTTTAGGGCATAGCGGTGTGGGGTTTGAGGATCCGCGGTTTCCCTAACCCCCCAGGTACCTACTATATAAGGTACTAGAGCTGCTAGGGTCCTATATGGTAGGTACCTGGGGGGTTAGGGTTTTTTGGGGTTCCGAAACCCGAAACGCGAAACCCTAAATTTCAGGGCGCGGATTTGCAGGGGCTCTCAGGTCCGGCTGCATATGGACAGGGTTTCCTGAACCGCAGAAGCTACACAAGCGTCATGTAGGAAATGGATCCACAAGAGGCAATTTAGTCTTAAAAGCTCTTGGTGTTGGGGCTGAGGCATCTGCGTTTCAGCTTGAAGAAGATGAATCAAATACGCGAACCGTGCTCGAAAATTGGGGATGAGGGTTGATACATGGCTCCGCAGGGCATAGCGTCTTCACCGTGCACAAACACTGCAGCCGACCGAAGCCCTAAACCAAACCACATTTGTAAACTCTGCTCACCCCATCTCCTGCACCGTGACCTGTCTATGTTCGAAGCTCTGCCGGGGGTGGGGGGGTGGGGGAGGGAGGCTACAGAGTAGTGGTCTTCTGGGCTTCGGACCCCAAACCCTAAATCGGTTAAGAAGCTTGGAAGTAAAAGGCCGGCAGGACGTTCAAAGCTTCCACCAGGTACATGTTGTCAAGATGTCCCGGGAAGACTCGTCCGAAGTGCCTGAGTTCATTTTTCGATTAAACCATTAAGCCATCTTTACATTTAGGATCCTATAAGAGAACCCCAGAAGGGAACATCAATGGGAGACTAGGGGTCAGGTCAAGGGCGAGGGCATGGAGAGTGAAAGCGGCTTGGGCAAGACCCTAAACAATAAGCCTCTCTCTCTCTAAGCTTGAACCCATGGGCCCCTAGTATAGGCCCTTACACCTGGGATCCGTATACACCTACTATATACCCTATACGTACCCTTAAGGGTCCCTAGAAAGGCCTAAGGATCCATATGAGGGGCCCATACTTCTAACCTTAGACTCTCCCAGCAACAAAAGACGTGACATACTGAACCCAAAACCCCAACGCCCAAGAGCTCACCTCAGACCCGAATGACCCGAATTAACTACATCCGAAAACTGAACCCCCACCATCCCAGACCTCCCAACTTCCACCCTATGTAAACCCACTACCAACCCCAACATCCATAGCCCAACAAGAAGACAGAACATATACAGAGACACTGGTGCGGGGTTCTGGAGCTTGTGTTTTTTGTTGGGGGTTCGCGCGGCTGGGGGAGTTAGGATACTTCGGCCTTTCAGCCCACCCCAACCCCTGACCCCTAACCCCTAAACCCGAAACCCTAAACCCTAAACCCTAAACCCTAAGCCCTAAGCCCTAACCCCTAAACCCTAAACCCTAAACCCTAAACCCCAGACCCTAAACCCCATCATCCCTGAACCCGCTCACGCAGAACTCTCTTCGCGCTCCGCTTGGGCGCGCGCGTGGCGTTCACACGGCTCTCGTCGAAGAGCATGGCGGTGCCAGAAGCTAGAGGTTCGAACCTCTGGTTTCTGGTTTAGCGTTTAAGGTTTCGGGTTT